ACTGCTTGGTTTGGAAGTTCTTTTGTGCTGAGTCATTTGATTTTTTTACTGGAAAAATGTTGGAAACAGGTTAAAAGTATTCCCTTCGAATTTTATTGTTAGTTAAGATTGCTGCTGCTTCGCCTTGATGCTGAGAAACGTGCTTTATAATCTTATCTTCAACTAGGGACCAATCGTCATTAAATGTCCGTTTTCTTCCTTCAGCGCTCTGCCAAATACAGACGTTCTTAGAACTAAGAACTTCATTCCAGAAAAAGCTCTTGGAGTACCCAGACGAAAAGGTCAGAAAGTTCACAGAGAAGAATGCAGTTCTTATCACATGCCTCCCCATGGTAAAACAGAAAAAAACAATTTCAGTTGAGTTCCCATGACTACAGTTATTCATTTTTATGATGCTGAAACATGATCAGTCACTATTTAACAGCCGTGAAAGTAACTTCTGTAGTTCGGTATGCTCGTGCCTTTCCGACTTCATATGCATTTCTCTATGTAAGTAGTGATGAAATCTTGAATTTATTGGTATTTGAAAGAGTAAATAAACATAAAATATGCAGTAAAAGTCTTTTGCTGCTTCTAAATGTTTATAACGCTTTGTTTTTAATGATTCAAAAGTCATTTCCATGAAATAAAGTTGACGCAAACAGTTTGTTATGTTGGAGCCAGTATAACAATATCGTTATAATATAGAGTGGGAATAATATTAAATAGAATATTAAGGGCTTATTCACTCTCTATATGTGTGTATATATCCTGAAGCACATTATAAACTACAATTCAGAAAGGAATACAATCAGTTAGATAAATTTTGCCGATGAATCATATCCTGGTACTTTAAGACGTAATATGAAACATTGGGAAAAATAAAGTTCATAATTGCAACATAAGATGAAGTTAGCATTGACAATGGTCACAAGCTCTTGTCATTAGCATGGCTAGTCGAGCTAAGTAAATATCTTTCAAATATGCCAAAAATAGCTTGTATCAGCTCTGTCACTTCTCTGATACAGTAGTTATGTTACGCTCAAAATAAAACAAATAAAAGCATGAACAGGCATGTATTATTGAACTCGTATTAAATTTCTCCAGATTATAATTTTAAGAATGCGGAAATTCTTCAATACACAAACATCGTTCATATTTGGAATCGCGTGAAGACTGTGGGGAGCGATATGCGGAAAGTTCATCGATCACCATTCTGAAAATGTAATAAACATATATGAAAGATATTCGTAAAAATTGTAGTAAAATTAAGCGAAGGAATACAAATAAAATAATGATTTTTTAAAAAAATCATTAATTCCAGAGTGCACTAAAAACGAAGGATATCATTTGATGATCACCGCCCTAGCGATCTAAATATGTAGAGGAGAAGATGGTTACATGAGCCCCCTAATTTTATTTATACTCTTAAAAACTATTTTAAATGTATTTAAAAAATGATTACATAATCATCATTTGAATAAGCTATATACAAAATATGAAGCTTCTTAACTGTGTAGAAAGTGGGTAAAAAATCAATAATTGAAAAGAAGTCATATTTGCAAAAAGTTATACGCTGGTATTATGAACTTCCTTAATATATTAATTAACACATGGGTTTATAGAAACTAATTACATATTTACATTTGTAAAAGGTATTTAATTAAAAAAATTAATATATAAATCATTTACAAGTATCGCAAATCTACATGTTCTTTTCTGCCCCAGCAAAGTCATAGTGAGCTCACATTTCGCTCAATCCCGTTGCCCCACAGTTCTACACGGTGGCCGGCTGAAAATGGTCTACCGCCAAACAAACAAGGCATTTGGCCATCACGGGGACTTTCAATCCCTACTAGTGCTTCCAAAATAGAGACTTCTGAATTGATAGAGTAGTCTAATTCTTTACGTTCAAGAAGTTTCCGTTTCAAACAATTCTCATGTGTGATTTTGATTTTCTTCCAGTCTGTTTTGTGCTTTTCGCCATTCAATTTTTACGTTTTTTTTTGAATCTGCAGGCAAATGTTCTTTTCCAGCCACCATAAGAGTCTCCTTTAATGGAGATGATGTGGCAAGCCGTCCCTTTGAAGCTATAACATGCTTGTGGCGATTATTGCCGTCCAAGCAATACCTTCCCCGCTAATGGATCTTCTGTCAATAGGAGATTCGTTTCCTTTGATTCACTAAGTTGGTACGCTACCCTGCGAATATCTTTTCTGGTGAGATCGTAGAATTTACTTTCCATGACAAGCAAATACTCGATTCTATTTGCAGCTCATCCCCAATACAGGTTTACTTGCTTAATTAGTTAAAACTGCTCCTTTCAAAGGTTTGTCAACTTGAAAAAAGCCTTTGAAGAGTAGGTCTTGGTACGAGAAATATGAAAGTCTTTTTTTAAATCCATTTCCTTGCTCTTAATTTCGTTGCCTTTACCATGTCTTCAGTATTCCAATTTTCCCTTTTTGTTTTACGCTTAGAACCTTTTGTGGTATCTAAAAAAAAATAATACAAACGCAAGTTGTAATGTGATACAAGTCCCTTAAAGTGGGGTGCTCATGTATTCATCATAATTCGGGGCTCATTTTACAACAATGGCCATATTAAAATTCTGCCAACCAAAACCGGTCTTTGTTACGATCGGAATTACATGTTGCAAGCATAAAAACAATGTTGAAAACATATTGTATTTCATTAATTAGGAATGACAATAGATCTAAGCGAACTCAAACTGTAATTAAAAGTCAAAGAGTTACCTTTTTTGTACCTAAGTTTCTGGAACTGAGAAAACTCGAACACCTCTGTTACACATCAGCTCTCATTTACAATTGAATCATAGAGCTATGATGGCAAAAGGAGTCACTAAACAAATAGTAAAAATCGTTCCTGCTAGAATATTTGCGATGTATGAACTAAGGGGGCTCATATTATATACATGGATCATATTACCACTTTACCTCTATAAATTGTCGACAACGCAGCATATTTTTGAATCAAGGTTTCTACAATATTAGGATATTATGGTTTAGTACCCCTTTAAATGGAACTTCCATAATTTAATTAATATTATATTATTATAACTTCTTTTAATATAAAATATATATTTCTTTTTACCAATTTGTAAATGAGTTGAAAAATATATTGAAGGCTGAAAGTTTTTAATTAGTGTCTCATACTTATATAATAAACGTTTGGTTTCTGTCATTTTATTTCGAGAATTTAAAAATTGGTAACAAATGCGAATTCCTCAGTCAAATGTTGGTTTTTAATTGAAAATTTTCTTGCATTGCGATTACTCGTTATTTCAACTGACCGCGATTCTCTTACGATAGATAACAAAAGGAAAATAATGATAATTTTTAAACATTCGTCAAGGTAATTGTGAGATATTTCAATTATCTTTTTACGTGTGGCTTCTTTTCTTCTTCTTCTTCTTCTTCTTCTTCTTCTTCTTCTTCTATTCCTTCTTCTTCATCGTCGCTATCAACCAGCTGACATAATTACTAGTTTTCCATGATTTCTCCGATCAATATTACGGAGCAGTATCTTAAAACATGACCCGCGAGCAATCTTTCCTTTCCATTCTTTCTCCCATTCTCTCTCCCACTCACCCCCTCTCTCTCTTTTTCTCTCCCTCTCTCTCTCCCTCTCTCTCTCTCTCACACACACACACACGCACACAAACACACACACACACACACATGCGAAACCTACCACACATGCCAGGGAACCATGGTTGTGAACTGCCCCTGGAACATAAAATAATATCTCAATTGTGAAATAGGGAAACGCAAAATAGGTTCGTTCATATCTTTTATTTCTCTCATTAGTATGAATCAGTTTTATTTTAAAAATCCTCTTTAATAGAAAAAGGCTTTTCTTGTTGGATTGCGTAGGCTTCTGCGGTCGGAGTTTATATTGTCTAGGCTATCCGGGACGAGCGGCGTCACTGTCATGGTGGCTCCTTGACAGTGACACGGCTCATTCCGGATAGCCTAGACAACTTTTCTTGTTGGATTTTCTAAAACTTCGTTTTAAGTTATTCATGTCTGGAGTTATAGTTTGAAGAGCCGGGACCATGGAAATATATTATTTAAGCCCAGTTCCCTGGCTTGTCTTCTACGACAGTAATGAATAAAGATCACTTTAATGATTAAGGAATAATAATGAGATTTTATTGTTACACATCATTAGCTAGTTTGCAAATCATTAATTATATTCTAAGACATAGACATCACCATCAGAAATATGGCTGGCATTGCATTTTGTAGCATAACTTTTTCGCCATTGTAATTTTTTACTAAACCAATTGAAATACTTCGAAATGTGTAATAAATGAGCTACATTATTTTCTTTAACTAAAGATAAGCTCTCACATGCTCTTGTTCTTGTACTTGAATTTTTGTATCCATTTGAAGATCCTTATTAGAGGAAGAGACTTTTTAAAAATTGTTAATTTGTATTTCTAGACATTTGTGAATCAATTGTGAAGATATTGCCACATCAATTCACCAGTTGTTATTTTTGTATCTAACAATTGCTCGTATAAAAAAATCACATGGTTAGAAAAAACAATATCGTTAATTAATTGTGGTAACCACCTGCAGTAACATCAGACGGTCATTAGACTACCTTTAGCAGATAGTAATGACAATTTTTTACAATTATTTATATTTGAAGCATGTGCTAAATAACTAAATTAATAAACATTTTTTTTAAAGATGTGCATACGATATAACAGGTATGTGGCATTAACAACAAGAAGAATGAACTATTTCTGTCCGTTGCGAGCGTGCTCTTAGAGCAGTCGTTCTGCGCCAGGACGACCTGATGTCGGACGACTTGTCGCTGCCGGACACGGACGACGAGGAGGCGGCGTGCGGCGGCGGGGCGGCGCGTCGGCGCGCTGGCGCGGCGGACGGCCGGGCGACGCGCGGGGCGGGGCGGCGGCGCAGGGCGCAGGCGGCGGAGCGCTGCTGAGGCGCAGCGGCGGCGGCCGGCCTGGGGGCGGCGGCCGCGGGCCACCGCGGGGCCCCCGCGCCTACTCGTGCGCAAGATGTTCACCAACAGCCGCGAGCGCTGGCGTCAGCAGAACGTGAGCGGGGCGTTCGCCGAGCTGCGCAAGCTCGTGCCCACGCACCCGCCGGACAAGAAGCTCAGCAAGAACGAGATCCTGCGCATGGCCATCAGGTGAGCGCGCTGCCGCACCGTTGTTCTTCGTCCAATGACGCCTCAGCTCAGTGCCATGCTTCGGCCACACGTCCACGTTCTACTGGAACTGGCAGGGGGCTGCAGATCGGAAATTTTTCCCGTAAAAAAAGTTGTCTTTTTCGCAGCACGTCTCTTAGCCCTTTTGGGCAATGAGCGTTTATATAACCGGAGTAATCCTTCATTAAGTTTTGTACTTTGACTCGTAACGTCGCAGACAGTCAGTGCCATTTATCCCTTCGGCCAGGGTTTCGGAGCCGGTACTAACCGAGTTTCCCAGACGGTCACTCCAGGAATCCTTGGTGTCCCGAGTTGCTTAACTTCCGCGACTTAACGGAGCGCAGTTTAGCAATTATGCTAATGACACCGGGTTGGAATGAAAAAAACGAATTGACATCATGAGTTCATTGACATCATTGTGTCATCCAAGACAGTCTTCCCTAACGCAGCTCAGACTGATTATAGTTTAAGAATGCATGTTGGAAAGTTTTCTTTTCCAATTTTTTTGATTTGGATTCCTTGTATGTTCAATTTGAAAAGATGGCTGTTAAAGAGGTAGCAGCAACACCTGTATTGTGTCCTTGGTAGAAATATATGAATTATTTTTCTGTATTGGTATCAATCTAACCGGGTTTAAAGGTGTATCAATCTAACCGGGTATGTAAGCGCGATCAATTTTCTCCCTGACACCCGGAGTCTTTTTAGATTATGGGGAATCAGAGTACGGCTGGTCTTTGATGATGGACGTGGGGAAGGGAGGGTGTGGCCGTGCGAGGTCCGTGGCCGGTTTATTAAGGTACTGCTCTGACTCCCCTTCAGTTAAATGGAAAGAGGCCACGGAAGCGGTCGCTCAGAACACGGTCGCTAGAAGTTTCGTTCCCAGGCAGAGAGTGGCTTGAGCTGGGATATATAGCAAGTGTCGAAAAAGTTCACCAAACTTTCGAGATTTGAAATTAGTAATTCCCGATCTTGTTAACTTCTGTTGCGAACTTCAATTATACTGGGTGATTCCATGAAAATCAGAAAAAAATCGAGAACTGATAAAGGATCACGATAGAAACACCAATAAATCCATTTCCCTTTCCATTGCAAAGTTGATACAAAGTTATTATTTTCTGCCAAATGTGCGTTGTCTAAATTGGGTCATCCAAAACTGCGCTTGACCTTAAGCACGTGATTGCAGTGGCAGCGTTCGCGAACTCACAACAGAACATTACCAAATTCTATGACGTAGTGACGACTCGAGCACGTTTCTTAATTAAGAGGAAAGACAAAAACGTCATTTGCTTAAACCACTTCAGATGAAACCTACCACAAATTAGACCACATGCGTCAACTTCCGTAGGGATGAGAGACAAAGATCAATCGGTTCGATTTACCCGTGGACACAGGCTTCCGCGAGCCCACGTTGTGAGACTGCGCCGTGCACCATTTGCTCTGATCAGGTCCCGACTAGTCCTTACCTTCGCTCCCTTTCTGTCGTGTGAGACTGCCTACGTCCTGGGACGTGTTGATTTAGTTCCAAGAGGCGCCTGCTGTTTAAGCTGCAAGGGAGGAGAGGATTCTCCCTTTCACTGGAGAACAAAAAAAAAGGTTTGTTCTCTGGCCACAAGGGCTATTCAGGCCACTGTGAGATATGATTGATTAGCACACAAAAGGAAGAAATGTGTCAGTTCCTCCTCAAATCGATTTAGTTTTCGTATTGATTACGAATGCGTTGTTTAAAACTCGATCAAAGGTAATTTCCTCATACCTATCAACAAAAGAAATACACAGTTCCCCCTATCGAGGTAAATATTTTATTAGGAGGTAGCATTCAGAAGAAATAAAAAGTTTTTTTCTCTCGTCCCTTCCTTGAAAACATGCAACATCTACGGATCATTTCCATCGGACCTCTTACTTGAAAAGGGATAATATTTAGATAATATTATACCGACGTAAATTTGAATGCATGTTAGTACACATGGAAGTCTTCTGGACGATCACGGTCACATGGGAAGGGGAGAAGTGTACAAGCAGACACAAAAACGCAGAGAAAGAGGACATATCGTGGCGTGCAGCGCTGTTATACACTGAACTCAAGTACATTCACACCATGCGGCGGTGCTGCGAGGTAGAAAATTAACTCTCACCGAGCGAAGTCGTCACTGACCCGGCCAGTCAATGAAATGAGACGTTTCTATAAGAACACTTTTCTGCTGTGTTGTTAACATGCAATGCTGTATTAGCGGCGATTAGCAGGCACAGACCCTGCCCTTAGCGATGCTTTCACATCATTTCGAAGATTGTAATTTCCTTCTGCTCTTGTTAATCGATGTCATTCTTTAGAATGGTGTGTAAATTAGATCAGAGTGCCCTCATAGATGCTGGAACTTCACAGAGGCCTCAATGTATCTCTGATACAAAAGGAATTAACAACTTCGCATCGACTCTGACCTGGAATTCGGAACGTCGTTGCTAACGTGTCTTTTATCAGCTTCCCATTTTTTCCCATTGTTCAAGCTTCGCCCTGAATTTCTTATAGCACCAGGTTCCAGCCCCCATTGTTACGTATAGTTAAAGCAAAAAGTTAAGTTACATTTAAAGCTAAATGCCCGTTAGTGCTAAACACGGGATGTAATGAATGTGTTAAGCATAAAATACACATGAATATTAAATTTCATGCTTAGTAGATGACAAAAAAGGTATGTATCATCTAAAACTAAATCATATTGCTACAGGAGAGGTGCAGATAAGGTGTAGAAAATGATCGTAGAGACAAAGTAATAAAGCGAAGTGAAGTAGTTAATAATGAATTTACCCACATTCTATGATTCATCAGACTTCGTATAACACTGACTATTTCACTCATGGAATTAAAACCAGTAGTGTTTTACTATACATATACAATGCCCCACTCAGAGCGGAGTATCTCAGAACATTTACCGCTTTTTATATAAGCCTTTTCTTACCGGCCCTCCTTACCGACCGATAATAAGCTGCGACTCGTCTATCTTAGGAGGCGGTGGGTATCGCTCGCTGTGTTGATGTACAATAAACTATTACATAATATCTTTGATTTTAATATTTTTTCAGTTATTTCCAATATTTGGTGCATTTTGGAACTCAGTTGAATGTAATTTCGTTCGTTGAATTGTTCTATTAAGTACCACTCGTGCTTTGGAAATTCTCAGGTAAATCCCCTCCTCGCTTCGCGAGTCGGGATTTGTCGACCATTTCCAAAGCACACCTAGTATTGCCTATGATAATCTTCAGGTAAACCTTGCCAGTACTCGTGGGAGGAAAAAGAGGACAGCAACTGCACAAATACAAGTGATGATGTAAAAAAAAATACAAAATTTCACAATAAGTAAAGATATTTACAAAGGATATCTGAAGTTGTAAATAGACCTCGTTTAATAGTGAAACCAATAAATGTTAGGTTTAGTGTTCATAAAACAGAGAGAAATCGTCCCCCAGCAGGGAGACCAAAAGGGTTTAGTAAAGCAGGCAAACGATTTGTGATTTGAGAAATTAAGAAGAGCACCAAAATTAGTGCTGTTACATTGGGGGAGGAATGGAAAAAACGTGAGGTTGAAGTATCATCTAAAATCAGTGCGCAATATTTGTAGAAAAAAAGATATTCACATCGAGAAAATGTTCTAGGTGAGTAAAGCAAATCTCATAACCCAAGCATTAAATTTTAAAAAAGTGTGTCGAAATAAATGATTGGACTTTTAAAATACAGTAATGTTTTCAGACAGAGGCAAAATATTTATGCACCAAAGGCGTTATAAGGATTCTAATGATGGAGCTACAACAAAAAGATTTTTGTCGCCCGAGATCATTAGAACCAGGTAACGACCATGGTACATATATCATTTTATTTATTACCTAATTTTATTGATTCAGATTCACGTATTTACTAATTAAGTAGATGTTACCTTGACCCAGTTTGTCTTTTCGTATATCCCTCCCATAATTCCCTTTCGTAATTCCCTCCATAAGAGAACATATAGCACCATCAACTATTTTAATATTTCACTCGTGGCCACGATTCTCTCGATCCAGATACGTTATGCAGTGTATATCGCGCTCCGTATCGAATGCAACAACACGCTATAACGTCCTAGTGAAAAATAAATAATATTTTTTGTCTCCCAAGGAGACACATGTAATAGTACAATCTCTAAACGGAAGTGGACGCTCAACATCTTGTACTACCTTCAGTGAAACGTAGTGATTTCATGATATTCTGGGGTTGAAATCATGAAGAGTGCGTAGTCTGCATGTAATTAATACAGTGATGAACAAAAGATGTATGTTCACATTTTAAAGGAAATCTTATTCGTTAATGCGCTGGACTAGACTCGTTGAATTAACTTTGTGTTTCAACGTGGTAGTAACCGCAAACATAAAGTAGACATACATAGGCAGACATACACATAGGCAGACAGACACATAGGCAGACAGACACAGGCAGTCAGACACATAGGCAGTCAGACAAATAGTCAGTCAGACACGTAGACAGTCAGACGCATAGACAGTCAGACACATAGGCAGTCAGACACATAGGCAGTCAGACACATAGGCAGTCAGACACATAGGCAGTCAGACACATAGGCAATCAGACACATAGGCAGACAGACATATGAACAGACATACAGAAACCTAGGTAGGCAAACAGACACAGAAAGACACGCATAGGCGGACTGACAGTGCATACTTCTTAAGAAGGAAACTATTGTATTCGTGCCCCGGAAAACCATGGTAACGAAAAATGGGATAAATCTCGACATTACTGTCTCCAACACATTGTGTAGAATCCATGTTTTGTGGGTCCTTGATATCTAAATACCGATTGAAGGCAAAACGTCTGTCCCTCGTCTGTGGTCAAGGCTAGTGTCTAAACCATTCCGGGAATTTTCTCCAAAATTGATATTTTCCGATTCATTTGAAAGAACTCGAGGCCCTCTGGGTTTGAAACATATTTTTCTTTTTGG